TTATACCATACCGCTCGATCGATCTATCCGCTCTTGAAAAAAGATCGCTAGCCTAAGGGCTTTAGCGAACAAGCAGGTCCGGTTCTTATTAGAATCTCGTTGATTGGGCCGCTTATCGTGAGTGGCAAATCGGCCATAGTGATCAACTAGGTTGAGTTCGGCTTTCAACATGCCATTTAGCTACATCATAATGGACGAAAACGGATTCCCTGAATAGTTTAGGCCTTCTCTCGCACTATTATAGCTAATAGTACAAAGATCAGAATGAGACATCGCGAAGGAGATCCATCGCTTTCGAGAACCAACATCGTATACGCTAAAGACAGCGATTGACATAGAATAATCCACCTTGTGATCGGTTCGCAACTATAGTGTGGAAGGTTATCAGAAAGCCCTTACAAGAATGCCACATTAGGGTAGGGCCCTCTCTAAATCTCAGATCGGATAATCCGGTCTAGGTTGACCAATTGAAAGAAGGGCTTTTTCTTAACAAACGGTATCTTAAACGGTTAGTTACAACATTCCTTCAAAGGCCACCCTTAGGGACGGAATCACCAACCCCATTGACAGGACTGCATCATGGCTCTATTCCATGCTAGTCTAAGGTTCCGGGCGTGGAATCCGCTCTGTGACCCATCAACAGATCAGTGGGCTCCGCCAGCCTCCGACAAGTGGGTAATTGGAATTCGTAGCTCAAACCCAGGTTAGGAATTACCTCCCTCCCTCCTTGATCGGCCCCTATAGGACTTTTTGATCTCTGCTTTGTGTCTTTCTTCACATCATTAACGTCGGTTCCGAACTTGCCCATCGAGTGCCGCTAGTCTCCATTACGCAACTGCACCAGGACCAGTTATAGGTTTGGGTCAACAAGGACTTCTTAATGAACCAAAGCGGGTTCGGGCTAACTCAATTTGTCGGCTGGGTCAGGGATGGAACATGAAATAGGGGTGAAGATCGGCTCTTTTAGACCGGATTCAGATATTGAATGGCCTTTTTCTAGGGTTAGGTACTAGAGCCATAGCCATTGATTCGCGCCCTTTTGTACTGGAAAATTTTTCTTTTCAGAAAAGATCTTTGCTATGAATTTAAAGTATGGAAAGAAGATTCTTAAAGTCAGTTTATCTCTAGGAATAGGATAATCTCATATTCATATTTGAGAATCCAAGGCAAATTCTTTCTCCCGCGGTCGAAGAGAATCTTGTCGACTATTTCCGGCTAGTACTATCGGGAACGCACACTCCTAGATCAAAGCTTGACTTCGGGCTTCACCTAAGTCCTTCTAGCTTCGCTTAGCAAGTCAAGTTAGACTCGTGAGGTCAGTGCCCAAGTCGCTATAGAGTATAGGACTTATGTAGATATAAGATAATCCATCCTTTTAGGATGGGCTAAGGTTTATTACCGTACTCCCTTCACTCTTTTAGTTTAGGGTGGGGAAGACTTCGTACCTTCCTTTACGTAGGCTAAGCTAGCGGATCAGAGAGAGAAGCCTGAGTTCCAGCTCTTGGAAAAAGTTCAGTAAAGTCAGTAGAGCTAGTCCTTTTATTTATTTAAAATAGCTATTCTGATCTATCAATTTATAAGTAGTCATTTATATAAAGATATCCTTCCAGGTACGAATGGAGCTTAGTTGTTTTTCATGCTTTCTTGCTAACCATTGATCATTTATGGTTGAAATCGCAAACTCTTTAGAGTTTGGGAGAGAGACCTCCTACCTTTCCAAGTCAAGATAGGGAAGTAAAGTAGAGTGGAGAATCATCCGATACCGCTGCCTTCATACTTGCGCTGTCCTAATAGCGATATGCTTAAGAGAGGGAAGTCGTGTTCGTAAACTCACCCTTACTTTTGGAACTTTAGTCTCTTTACCTTTCCCAGCTTAGAGGCATGTAGCGAAGACTTAGTGACTCCCCAAGGCATGAGTCAAAGAAAATGCTATATGTATCATCTCTTTTTTTTGATTTGACCGGTGGGGGATAGCCATTGAGCGGGGGTTAGTGTGCTGGTCGGGCAGAAAGGGTAATCCTCGAAAGGCTTCGCAGATCCGGCATAGGGGGAATACTGCTTATGGCGTTGCAAAGGAAAGAAGCAAAGTCTTACAAAAGGCTTGAGGAATCGGAATTGAGGCTTTTCAAGAGGCGCTTTATTCTTTCTTATGGGGATTGGCAATCAATGATTCTTCCTTTTTAGTGCAATCTCAGATCAGGGTAAGATGATCTTTCCCTGCTTGGTTATTCCGTTCCTTAGGCCTAACTTGCTTGCTTGACTACAAGCTATGGAGACAGTACTCCGTTAGGTCAAAAACCCTGCCTGCCTGAAGATTCATTGATTAGATTGAACCTAGCGGGAAAAAGTAATTTTGCAAAGTCCTTTAATAGCTCCGATCCGGGAACAGAACTTTCTTCTTTTTTATAGTTTTTAAATGTAATGTATATACATTATTATTAAAACTTAAGGAAAAGAGAGACTGACTTCCCTAATGTACGGAAGGAAGTTACCCCAGCACTGACCGAACCATAAAAGCTCTTGCATTCATGCCTGCTTTGCTCTTTCATGCCAGCGTCTACCTTTAGGCCTGGTTCCCCCTCTCTATCCTTCACTGACTAGATCGGTATCTATTTTCCTTGCGGGACGGAAACCCGGAGGGAAGCTCTCCTTTACGCTGACTCCTCACAGCCTACCACTAAAGAGATGCGAAACAAGAGGTAAAACGAAGAAAGGAAACTCATTCTCTTACTAAAGGGAAGCGTGCTCCTCACCTTCCTATGCTGCTTCTCCTGCTGATGCTTTGCTTTCATACGATTTATCCGAGGTAGAATGCCTGATTGACTGACCTTGCTTTCACTCTACAACTCGACAAGTCAAGTCATTCTTTCCTTACCCAAAGCAAGGACTTCTTTAGCAAGAAATGCATCATTTTCACACGACCAACTAGCTCCATTTCACAGTGTTCAGTCCCTATCTGTTCGCGATGGGATTTACCCATCACTCACTCGTTGAAAACGCATATCTTTCTTTCGCTTACTAAATGGCAATAGTGATTTAGCCCGAACTTAACACAGCCTATTGTATAGATGTGCATCCTATAAAAAAAGGAGAAACTACACCTGATCTATTCGACTAGCAGCGCTAGATGCCAAAAAGTAGTTTGAAAAATCTCATATAGAGATGTGCACGAACGAAAGAAGGCCTTCGCGGAAGCAAAAGCCCCTCAACCAATGGTTGACCTAGGCTAAAAGAAGCGCTGCGTTTTTCTCTTTTCTTATTCGAGATTGGGTTTGTCTCAAGCCGATTTTACTCGAGGGATCGGAACTCCATCATATGAGCTACCTGCGTGTGGTACTTGTCAGTCTTTTCTCTCTCTGGATCAGGAATGAAGTTGCTCGACCGAGAGTCCGAGGGGCGAAGCGGTTGCTCGACTGATAAGAAAAGGAAGGAGGTTCAAGCTCTAGCCCAGGCCCAGTATGTAGCTCAAGAAGAACTAGCCAGTGTTCTTGATAAGAAGAATTATAATAAGGCGCTAAGCGTAAAAAAGAGGAAAGTCTTAGTTCTTCAGTCCATTCATTGTAGATTTAGCTTTTCAACTCCTGTCTTCGTCTTTCAGAACTGCAAACCCCAAGATAGGAGAAGAGCTTACAATCTACATTCTCTATCCCGGCCGCTTTATTGCGTAAGGAAAAAGATTTTCCTAAGAAGAAGAAGATCTAACCTGGCTCTGGCTTGCTTTCCTAAACTAGCTTTTCTAAAGTCTAAAAAAACTCTCTATCACTCGCTTGATCACAAGATTTGACTTCTTTGAAGAAGATTTGAAGGGCTTCCTTCCTCATTGGCCTACTCCTGGAATAGAACTCTCTGGTAAAAAGGGAGACCTCCTATCCTTATGCTTGCCCATTTTCCCTTCCCACCCTGGGAAAGAAAATCAAAGAGCTTACCCACATTGCCTTGGCAAATCTTCCTGCTGGAAAGGCTTACAAGAAGACTGAAACTAGATCCCTTACCAACTTCTTAAACTAAAACCCCGGAAACTCCACCTCCAACTCAATCTCCAGGGAATGAAACTGGCCATACTGGGTCTAGCGGAACTGGCACTGTACTTATTAAACCCCCAGGTGTAAAGGTCACCGCAATTGACTCGCAGACAGAAGTCAAAGATAATGAGCCTTATATTTCTTAATAGTATGCTCCTAATTCTTTTCTTCTGGTCTCCGCCTAGTGGTAAGAACTAGGCTCACGCCTTTGACGACCTATCCCTACTAGGGGCAAGCACCCCTTTCTTTATCTTTAGTTAGGGCAAATTGAAGAATCTTTCCCACGGGTCAGGGTTATATTGCTAGCTTCTTCATCAAAAGGAAGGGCCAATAAAGATGAAACTTACCACACCAGTACGAAAAGGGAGATTTGGACCCAGGAGCTAGAACTGATAAAGAGAATCATAAATTTTAACCAGTGCAAGCTAAGCGTAAGGAATTGGCAGATGAAAGTAAGACTATGCAAAAGCAAAAAAGGTATAAATCTTATTTCACCTATAGTAGAGGGCTTTCCCTTTCCTTATGAAGCGTGCTTTCATGGCCATAGAGTTCCCATTCTTTCGTGTGCGCCTGGTCAATAAAGACAACCTTCTCTAATCGTGTAGAGCGAGGCAATGAGCATTGTGCTGCTTGCGACTCCTGCGTCTACTTTTGACAACTCAGGGCAGGGTAATGTAAATTTGTGCGCTTGGTCCGTCCTGTACTTGCCTGCGAGTGCTTTCTTTCCTTCATACATCGAGGGGATATCCGTAGAGCCGGGGCTGGTTGGTCCGGTGGAACAATGTTCTTATAACTCAATACTGAAGCCTTCAAAAGGACTCTTATTCCCGAACGTGAGGACTGCAATTGCATGACCTTCCTTTCACTTTGAAAGCACTACCAATTCGTTTGCCAGCATACGATTCTTTAGGTCTTTGGTTGTTTGGATTGGGGAACTCGGATTGCTATTACCCACCCGCTGACTGACTTTCTTTCCTAAAGAAATTTCCCTTGGCCTTGAGCCTGCTTCATCGCCTTGACTTGAGCGGAGATCTTCTATATATAATAAGAAAAGACCACCAGCCCACCTGTTGGCCACATTTGCTGATGAAAGAACAGCAAGAACGGGTTCTCCCTCGGTTTCTTGGATGCCGCCCAGAGGGAGCTTCTAGAGAATCCGCAGTTCAGGAAGAAAATGCATAGAATCCGATGCAGTTAAGCTCGAAAGGCAGCGAAGGAAGTTACGGATTAGCTGATCTAGGGGCTCGAGGGAAATTCTTTCATGACGGAAGAAGCCAAGTGCCCCAGATTTAATTGTTGGAAGAATTGCTAGTCGAAGAGAGGTACCGGTCAAAGCTGTTAGAGAATCCGGTGCTATTGGTAGTAAGGATATGGCTTAAGGAAGCTCCTGAGCCGAGGTTGGAATCGATTTCTCTTAGAGGGAATTCGTGGCATATGCTCTTAGCAGCTCTTCCCCCTTTCCTGTTTAGGAAGATAGCAGCCATTTCAATAGCTGCGATCAGAGCGAATGAACATAAATCAACATATGAATAAATAGATGAGAAGAAGTTGTTCTTTCCCTTGTTGTGACAAGGGAGGTGTGGTTATTCTTTTCCATTTTGTACTCTCTTCTCTGCAGCTGGAGTCAAGCGCCTCTTTTTCCACTCATCGGCCTTTATTTCCGCTTGTGAGTTTGATTATTCTTCACCAGAACGCCCTTCCGCATCAACTTCGAAGCCAACTCGTCGGACTCAGACTTTAGCAGATCTGAATCTTTCTCCTATGGAAGAAGAGGAAAATTTCGACGGGGCATAGAAGACAAGAAAGAGCGGTATGCGATTGAAGTATCGCATATAATAAGCATAAAATCCAAAAAAGATTCAAGGAGATATAGATCTTGCTGAGGCGGGGTAAAAAGAAAAGTCTATTGTCAAGCAGCTAGAAGATTGATTCCTGAGAGAGGAAATGATATGGAGACAGAAAGATCGTATTCAATGGCTGCAAGCGGGGAACAGGAAGACTCAGTTTTTTCATGCGATGACTGTCAAAATCATCCTATTGAAAACGTTCCTAACCCACCTTCGAGTGGCTTGAGTTGAAGAAGCAGAGCTAGAAGATATCAAGTATCTTGGGATTGAACCTCTAGTTAAATCGTCTTTTCCCGTCTTTCATTCTCTTCCCAGGTAATTCATATTAATATCCCCAGCGAAAAAAGTACTATTCTTTGGCCGTGCTTTTCTTTCTTAACTGTAGAGCTCTTATTACTGGGTAAAGATTAGATGAGGCATTCCCTTTTTTTAGGACTAGTAAGAGCTTCTTACTTAGCTCAAGGGGATTGAAGAAGAAGGTTAGGGTTAGTTAAAGTAGGTGGTAAAGTAAAGGAATTGACTTGATAAGAGGCAAATTAGGGAATTCTCTAAGACCGGATGAATGTGTAGCTTATTCTATACCAGCAGATCCGATTCCGAATTCCAAAAGGGAGGCGAAGCGCTTTGACTTTGGTATTTAGTCCATTGAGTGCCCTTCTAAGGGAAGGAGTAGGAGGCTCAACTATGGGCAGAAAGACTTGAAAGAAAAAGGTAAGACTTTGACTCCCTAACTTCCGATCTACTTCTGCCGGGTCGGTTGCTCGCTTCCAAAGCCATAAGCAAGCGGTCCCATACTTTCCTGTCTTGAACTAGAACTAGAGCAGCTAACTCGGACTCAAGGGACACTTCTGACTTGTTAGCTGCAGGTACGAACGTAGAGAGTTTGTTAGGTCCCATCCGGTCTACAAAAATAGAACTAGAACGCTAACTACTGGCTTGACTTTAGTTACAGGGAAAGTTTCACCGACCTTTAAGCCAATAAACTACGGCTGGAATCAGGTTATCCTATTTATTTCCACTTCCTTATAGGCACCTCTATAATTGGAACTTAAGTTTCACTGACTTCGCATGTCTGGACATTGGACCTTCTTCAAACTGGCCTTTGAACCTTAGCAAAGAGTCTGGATAGAACGGAGAGAGCTCGTTGGGGGAGCTCTTTGCTAATCGAGGGCTTCCGATTTAGCTATTTCACTTCCCTGCTCTGGTTCAAAACTAGCTAGGCATCTTCCTCAGTCTCGTTAACCGATTAGCTTTCACTCACCGTCTCGTTACCACGCTAACTTGAATTAAAGGCATTTACCTTGGAATGGCGGACTGAACACCAAACCTTCATTACATTACAAAGGAGCTCCCCTCTACTTCTTTCGGCCTTGAGAAGGAGGATTCCCACTTCCATAGTAGCGGGCTCTGGAAGAGGTACTGCCCGGTTGGGAATACTTTTTTGTTCCATATAAAGCTGCCTCGCTTTTATGACACTTAGGTTCGGCTGGGCTTGCTCAATAGCATGCTTCTGGCCGACATCCGTGGCCCTATTTGACTAATAATAATAATAAATCTCCCGGGGGAAGGAGTACCGGGGAAAGCTTTAACTATAGGTATTCAGGTATTCGCGTATTACAAGGTTGATGGATCTACTTTAGCTTATGTGAGATTCACAAAGAAAAGCAATTTTGCTTCTCTAGACCGATTTCAGATCTTACCTTTCACTCATGGGTATATCACGGCACCTCTTGCTTGGTACGAGCGTATGAACTATTCTATTAAGATAATAGAAGTCGATTCGGGATCCAGCTGAAACTGCTACTCAGAATCTTGTCTCTGAAGACGGTCATACGGAAAGACTCGACTCAACCTGATGCTACTGGAATGGAAACTCTTATTTACCGGGTGCCTTCTCCTTTTTGGGTGCTAAGACCCAAAGGGGATAAAATAGTGGCGCTTTGACTCGTGGACACGATAGTTCGGTGAGCGGTCCCGGCTAGGGCATAACAAGTGCTCTCGCTCTCCAGAGCAAACTACCGAGATTCCCAGTCATTTCCTTTCTGACTCCAGTAGTAGAGAGCTCGCATCAAGAATGGGGCACTTAACTACTTCACTCAGAAATGCTAACCCCTTTCTATTTTTTATTTAGGAAAAACTGTTGTTTCCAGGTCGAGTGACTCTAGACAGACCTAGCCCTTCTTTGGAGGAAAAGAATTTAACCTAGAAGAATTAGTCTGGACTGAAATCCCTTCACCATCCCATCAAAGAAGATGGGTATCTCCTTGGCACTAGTTGGGTTGGATTGGTTGATGTCAGAGAAGTGGAAGGTTCAGACTTGGAGAAAGAATCGAGGATAGCCTTTTCTCTCTCTGCTGGACTGGAAGTCGAGTTCTGTCTGACCGTCCTTCCCCTTTCGATAAAGTGGCATTCTTCTCCTTTGGCGGCTTCCACTCAACTGAGCTCCCTGAAGTCGAAAAAACTTCCTTGGTTGATGGCATTGAATGAGCCAAATCCCGATAGTCAAAACTCACGTAATCGTAATAAGAAGAGCTGGTTGATCCTTGCGCCCTCCTCCTTCGCTTCTTCAGAAGTGGCGAACCAATCAATTCCATTCTATGCCGGTTTTCGTTCAGCCGCTCTGATTCCTTGCCTAACCCGTAACCCGACCTGGCCACAGGAATAAAGTATGTCTTTCCCACAGTGCAGTTGAAGTAGGTCAGTTCCTTTCTTCTCGTCTACCATGACTGCTAGTCAAAGCTCTGAGAACGGGTAACCCCGTGTTGAGTTCCCTTCTTGCCCTCATCTCCTTTGATCCCGGACTCCATGAGAAAAGGGTAGAACTCATGCTTTGAGTTTGCTGACTTGATTGATCAAGTCTGTCCTGTCTTCTTTCTTGCTTGATTGCTGTCTTCTCTTCTGGCTACTCCATGCGGCTAGAATGCGGCTAGTAGTCCTAGTCGCCTTGCTTTGAGGAGTCTTAGACAGCTCATCTTCTCCCATTCCGTGCCTGGTTATGTCAAACTATCTTCAATCTCTTTCCCCTATCGGAGTTGGAGATAGGTACACGCGTAATAAAAGAAAGCTTTGACAGATCCAACAAAGACCTGGGAATTAGATCCTGGTACTTTTCTCCCTCTCCTTCGTCGGGCTTGGTCGTTTAACTCCCGTCTCGCTTTCCTTCCCACTCACAGGATATCTAAGGTCTATTTCGCCGATAAGACAGATCCATCGATCACGTTAAGTGCACAGAGCTAGACCCCTCTCGGGTTGGTCGCTTTTCGATGAAGCCTGCACCTACTGGGAAAAAGGAAAAATAGACCTTGAATACTATGATAGAATTGGTTGTTACAGATGTTTGAGAATCAGCTGAAACAGGATTTTGATGTCACTTAGGAAAGGAAATTGAATTTATGCCAGTTAATCCAATAGTATGTATAAGAAGAGGCATATGCCAGACCAGAAGAGGTTTCACATTCATCTCTAGTAAGAAAGCAGAAAACTAGTAAAGTAAAGGCACTCGATTAGCCGGGCGCTAAGACCCTGCTTGCTTGACCGCTAGCCATTAAGTGCTTGGCCCTGGGCATTATTGATTAAGTGAGAGAGGACTCCCACTTTCGCTCTCCCATCAATGTGACTAAATTCATCTCCGTTTGCTATTATGGCTTGGATGAAATTCTTTTAAACCTTCAAAATTTCGTCGACTATTAGAGCTGCTGCAATCCAAACCTCAAGGCTAAGAGCTTATTCGAGAACAGCTTACTCTGATTCAATTGCAAAGATCACATTCCTACTGTCAAGCTAAAGGCGAAAGAAGTGGCTTAGCTTAAAAGCTCCTCTTCATAGACACATGGGCAATCCAAGGATTTAGGTTCAACTCAATCTCCCCTTCGAACTCGGCTTCGTTCCTCTCTTCTTGCTATCTATCGTCTATTGTAGGATGCTTTTTTACTCCCAGAATCTAGGGCGAGGACTTTCCCTCCAGTCTCTCTAAGCGGAGTAAGCTCCCTTCTGCAATCAATACTGAAGAAAGCCCTTCCCCCTTCTCTTTCTTTAATGTAGGAGTGAAACCCGGCAAGATCCGACTTGAAACTTGAAAGCGAGTGAATAGCAGGCTTGTG